GTTGGGCGAATCAAATTAAATTTTCGGGGCACGTCTAGATGCTACCATGGGAGGCAGTGGTCGCGTGAGAAGATCCTCATCCATTTTTGAACCTTCGGGCACATGCCGTGAATGAACATGAAAAGCGATGGCTGTGGATATAAGCCCTAAGCCCTGAACAGTTACAGGAATACAACGGGACTACCTCTATGGTCAACAGCGTCAGTGGGAAACTGCCTGGAGCATAGGGTCAGCAATTGGGTGAAGAGCATGTCACTGTGATCGGTAGATGGAGATCATGTTGATAAAATCTGGGTGAGTGGTCGGATGGTAAGTGGCCTACGCCAGCACCATTCAGTTGCAACCCTCAAAAAGTCACAGAGTAAACCTTGATCATGGTTCTGACCTTATTCCTAAAACCTGTTCCTACTTATAGACAAGCCATTTAACCTGACCATTTCCATTCTCTCGGGTTAGGGGTTTCGGGTTGGGGGTTATGGATGTTCTATGGCATATGGGGGTGTTGGTATATGGGGTTGAGTATGTTGTTTTTCTATAGTATTGGGCATTGCTCATTACCATGGGTTCTTCAGGCGGGTCTTACTATGGGTCTTTCGGTGGTGCGGAGGTTCAGGCATAGGTTGCAAGGGTTTGGGGGCTACAAGGTGGTGCCTGGCTAGAAAATGGAAATGGTATATGCCAACTTCTCATACTATAACTATAATACGGAACCTCCAAAATTGTATTGGTAATTATTTAGGCCCCTATATTAATCGCTGCAAACCTGCACCTCCCTAGCTACCTCAAGCCCTCAGAACTCTCTCTCCCCTACTTGGAGGGTCGGGGGACTTAGTAAGTAGGTAAGGAGTAGACTTATATATACCCGAAAAGAGACCCTAATTGGGGTTATGATACTGATAAGTCTATGAAATAACCAATATAGGGGCCTTAATAATTAGAGTAGGGTTTGGGGTATCTTATACTATAACTCCAATACGGAGCCCCCCTAAATTTAGGCTTCTATATTACTTACGAATTTCCCCGACCCTCCAAGTAAACCCGGAACCCTCAACCAAAACTCCGAACCCGGAGAGCCCAATACCCTTTAAATAAGGAATCTAGCTTAAACCATCATATGAAGCCCCTGATAATTTAAGCCATATTCCTTACTTGGAGGGTCGGGGGACTTAGTAAGTAGGTAATAAGTAGACTTATACGTTATCCAAAAGGGACCCTAATTGGGGTTATGATGCTTATAAGTCTATAAAATAACTAGTTACTAAGTCCCCTGACCCTCCAAGTATTCAAGGGGTAACCCTAAACCCTAAACCCTAAACCCTAAACCCTAAACCCCTAAACCCTAAACGGCTCTCTGGGAGCATGAGCGGCCTCATCGCGTCCAGATCCAAGTCGCAAGCTGCAGCCTGTCGTCTCCAGAGTCGGGGCTTTACTTCTTCGAACAGTTTTTTTTTTGTCGCCCCTCTTCCATCTGCCCAAGTTAGTTTTCGAACAGGGTTTAGGGTTTAGGGTTTTGGGGTTGCTCTACTATCTTTTCATATGAAAGCACCATATTTTCTGTCGTAGTTTACTATATTTCGATTAGGAAACACTCAAAAATTCTAGCGAGGCTTTTATGGAAAGTGTGAAGCTTTTTGCAGAAGACTCCTCCTAAGGCTCTTTGGGGCTTGGTTCGGGTTTGGGTTTTGGTTTTATCGGTTTAGGGGTTCAGGGCTTGGCTAGGGGAATTTAGGAGCCTTAGTAATTTTAATAGGGTTTTGGGGGTATACCATGCTATAAACCATCATAAGGAACCCCCCCCCCAAGCAATATAGGTAGTGACTGAGGCCCCTATATTATGGGTTATCAGGTCCTTGTGTCGTATATCTTTTGGCTGATTAATCGAGCCTTCTCCATGCAGTGGGACTATCACAGGGGTGCTCCTGTTGTTATGCCTGTTATAGCTACCCATCAATCCCTCCGTGAACGTGAAGCCGCAATGGAGATCATCAAGGTAGACAAAAGAAGATTTATATAATGACTTTAACAAGACTTGTAGACCCTAAACCCTAAACCTTAACTAATCGCTCGGACTTGTATATTAGGCTGCAGTTCTCGGAGAACAGATCTGGTCGATTTGGCGAATCGGCTGCACGACTTGCTTGAAGGTTTCTGAGTCGATTCGTTTTATGAACTCCCCTGAATTTAGTTGCTGAGTTTACGGTTTAGGGTTTAGGCTTTAGTTGCTGAGTTTGGGGTTTAGGGTTCATTAGCCCCCCAAAAGGTGTCAACTTTCATTTCTTCACAGGATGATCTTATCCCAAACAGGGTATACAGTGTACTCACTCAGCTACTAAGTGCATGAAGGAGAGCCCTGCAGGGGCCCTGCACCCTAACTGAAGTTTGAAGGAACCCTCTTAGGACACCGAGGCTTGAAGCATACTCGGAGGGTCGGGGGACTTAGTCAGAAGATGCTTTATCGACTTATAAGTTTAGGGTTTAGGGTTTAGGGTTTAGGGTTTAGGGTTTAGGGTATCATAACCCCAACTTGGGGTCCCTTTTAGGTTGCTTATAAGTCTACTTATTACCTACTTACGAAGTCCCCCGACCCTGCAAGTAAGGCCATGGTGTTTAAGTACCTATTTGGGGTTACAGTGCCCTTCTTAGAGCCCTACTTACTAAGTCCCCGGATCCTTCAGGTATTCCTTCACCGAAAAAAACCTAAAACCCTAAACCTTAAAACCCTGAACCCTAAACCCTAGACCCTAAACCCAAAGACCCTAAACCCTGAACCCTAAAACCCTAAAACCCTAAACCCACAAGGTGTTGGTCGTGATTGGTCCGGAGGGTACAGCTTCAAGGTTATATCTCCAATTTCTCGGTAAGAGGAACGGTTAACCCTAAACCCTTAAACCTAAACCCTAAATCCTAAACCCTAAATCCTGAACCCTAAATCCTGAACCCTGAACCCCCTCCTCGGCTGCTACGTGCAACCAGGCTCGTAGTTCGGCGCAACATCTAAGGTACCCTTGCTTGGAGGGTCGGTTTAGGGTTTAGGGTTTAGGGGGTGACTTTCTTAAGTAATTGGTTTTTGCAGACTTATAAGTATCAGAACCCCAGTTAGGATCCCGTTGGGGGTACTTATACGTCTAGTTAGTGCCTACTAAGTCCCCTGACCCTCCAAGGAAGTACTCTTGACAGGCAAGTCGCATGTCTCCTGATGACGAAGTACAGCTCCTGCTAAGACTCATCCGGGGGGCTGTCTCTGTAAACGGAATCTACAAGGGTTCCCCTTGAAGGGATCCATAAGGGCTGAGGGTTTCGGGTGTTATTTAGAATCTACATGGAGGGTTGGGAAGCTTAGTAAGTAGGGCAAAAGGTAAAGTTATATGTACCCTAAAAAGGATGCTGCTTGGGGTTATGATACTTATTAAACTAGACCGGTATGGGAGTTTCCGAAAATAGGGGACCCTAATATAGTACCCTAAATAATAGGATCCTTACTATAAGGACCCCAAAATAAGGTACCCTAAAACCTAAACCCTAAACCCCTAATTTTCGGAAACCCCCGTATAGGCCTCGTCAAACCTGGGTTCAGGGTTTTAAGGTTTTCGGGGGGCTCTAGGGTTTCGAGTCTTCGGGGTGCTAGGGTCCAGGGCTCTAGGGTAAAAGTCCACAGGACTGGGTTTAGGGTTTAGGGTTTAGGGTTTAGGGTTTAGGGTTTAGGAACCCTTAACCCTGAAGCTTACTTGTGGAGTTTGCGAGGGGTAGGACTTGCCGGTGAACCCCTGGGTCAGACTTCAAGGACTGTACGAAAAGGCCACACGTAACCCTAAACCCCAAACCGTGAAAAGCGTAAACCCTGAACCCCAAAGCCTGCGCCCTGAGCCCTAAAGCATAAACCCACATGAATTTGGGTTTAGGCAGTAACCCTAAACCCTAAACCCTAAAGTGTAAGTTGACAGATTGTCTGCAGCCGGAAGAGCGAATTAGTAACTTTACCCCCTAGGGCCCCCTAGTCTATACACAGAGCATACTTGGAGGATCTTGGGACTTAGTAAGTAGGGTTACAAGTGCCCTAATTGGGGTTGTAAGTGACTATAAGTATAGTTACCTTATTTATAACCTTTAAGTAGAGTGTCGGAAAGGATACCGGATACCCCACCAGGAAGTTGTGGTGCTTATAAAGCCTAAACCCTAAACCCCTACCCAGAGCCCAATGCCCCTTAAAGAAGGAATATACATTAAATCAGCCCAATACCCCTCAAATAAGGAATATACATTAAGTCAGCTCAATATCCCTTAAATAAGGACTATACCTTAAATCAGCCCAATACCCCTTAAATAGGAAATATACCTTAAATCAGAATATTAAGCTCCCTATAATTTAAAGTATATTCCTTAATTAAGGGGTATTGGGCTCTCTGCGAAAACCCAAAGCGACAAGACTCCACGACACGAGACAGGCGTCTTAACCAGGCAATCTGGAAACACGTACAGGTCCAGGGCAGCACGAACTTCCCTTGGTCTCCACTAACTTCAACTCCGGCAAACATCCCTAAACCCTGAAACCCTGAACCCTAAACCCTAAAACCCTAAACCCAAAGGCCCTAAACCCTAAAACCCAAAACCCTAAACCCATGGTAGTCCAGCACCCAAGCCAAGGCTTTGAGGCTCGAAGCTTTGCGGCATGGAGTTTAAGGTTTGAGGTAGTAATGTATGGGGCCTCAGTACTTAGAATAGGGTGTTGGGGTATATTAGACTATAATTATGATAAGCAGCCTCCAAAATAGTATGGGTAATTATTAAGCCTTAACAATTAAAATAGCGTTTTGGTCTCCTTTATAGTATAACGATAATAAGGAACTTGGGAGCACTATTGGTAACTACTTAGGCCTCTATATGGGGGTTTCCGAAAATAGGGGACCCTAATATAGTACCCTAAATAGTAGGATCCTTATTATAAGGACCCCAAAAGAAGGTACCCCTAATTTTCGGAAACTCCCATATTAATCAATGAAGTCCTGGCCGAAGCAGAACTCTTTGCAGCTCCATTCCTGCGGGCGAGGCTACTTGGAGGGTCGCGGAACTTAGTCGGTACTTATTTTACAGACTTATAAGTATCATAGCCCCAATTGGGATCCTCTTTAGGGCACTTATGAGTTAAGCTCTACTTAATATCTTTTATAGACTTATAGTATCACAACCCCAGCTAGGATATAACTCTAGTTAATATCTACTTACTACGTCCCCCGACCCTCCAAGTAGCACACCGAGGTCAGACGAAAGTTTGCCGGATTCAGGGTTTAGGGCTTTAGGGTTTTAGGGTTTTAGGGCTTAGGGCTTTGGGGTTTAGGGCTTTAGGGGTTTATGGTTTAGGGGGTTTAGGGGCTTAGGGGCTTAGGGTTTGGAGTAGAGGGTTTAGGGGTTAAGCTCTAAACCTCAGCCCTAAGCCCTAA